CCGTACAAGAAATCGCGTGCAAATTACTAACAAATTACTTAAAAGCGTTAATGATAGCATAAACGTTAATAAAGGCGGAAGAAAAAATTAAGCAAAGCAAAAAAATGCAGTGAACATAAAAACGAACACGAAAATATGACCATAATAGCACAACATAATAGCTAATAACATTAGTGCATTAATGACGGAAAAAAGTAGGTGTTGATGGCAGAAAAAAATATGCTGAAATGCAGCAACAACCAGCTGGTAGCCGAGGAGTCTTAGCTAATTCACTTCTTCTTAAATTTTCAAATACGAGAACACACTTACGTAAACTCACGCAGCAATATTTGTATGTGTAAATGTGTATTATGTGTCGCTAAGGAATCCGTTCTTCAATTTACCGCTTGATCTTGGCATTGTTTGGGCAGAAAATTGTAGCAATTTCAACTGTCAACGCGCCAAACAAAAACATACATACAAGTATACGTATAAACATTTGCCACCACTCCTGCTGATCCTGCCACACGTTTTCTTACATGTACATATATATATGCAACAGCACCTCACTTAGCGTCTAAGTGTCGAGCGCCGATCTCCGGGTCTCAGCTCGCCCATATACGCGCAACTACTTCTGAAAAGAGTATCAATTACCCAAACAATTATTTACCTTTTCGCAAATCTCTTTCGCTCTTTATTGGAACAATAAGCGATACAACAATGCGCACAATGCAACGAAGCCGTGCCGCAAAGAGCCGCTAATAATTGTCATCATCCGAACAGCGGCATGCGGCATGCAGTCCATTTGTTGCGTATATGCAGCTACTGCTGCTGCTAATGGTGCGGAAGTAGGGAGCAACTATTACTGATTTCCTGCCCCTGCCTCTCAAGCCGCTTGAGGGGCGACTGAGCGAATATGTAAATGATACTTTGCTACTTTTCGCTTTTATTTCGAATTTTTTTCTGGTACACCATTGCATACAATTTATTTGCGACTGAGTGATAGTTTTCAGCTACAATAACAACAACCAAGGGCTTTACATAATTTTTTGCTTGCTTACTATGTATTAGTTACAAAGCAAATCACCGCGTTGCGCTGCGAAATTGTTGCCATTTGAAAGGGAATTATTGAAAAGTAGTTGAAATGCTAAGAACTAGTGGTTGTGGTCTTTTTTCTTATTGTTGTTGTTGTTTTTATATAAGAAATTCATGCAATTTGAAAAATATTGCCACAATGCAGTTTGTTGCTCGTTGCGATGCTTTGCGGCAGCTTTACATAAATTACAACAACAAAACTCAAGTGAAAATTCATTGGAGTTGCTTGTTAGTACAGCAGCAACAACAATTGCTCAAAAACTCAAATGAGTAGTGCAGAAATAGTTGGCTTTTCGTAAAACCAGTGCGTTGCACTGTGGAGCAAGTGTTATAAAATTTATTTTATTGCAAGAAAAAAAGGTTTTATTAAAAATATTAAAATATTTACTAATTTTTGTTCTTAAATATATCGAAAATTTCGTATTATTGCATATTTCCAAAAATTTAAAAATTGAATTATTAAAATAAAAAAAGCTCTAACAAAATATTGAGTTATTTAAACTCTTCATTGTTAAACAAATTCAAATTTATATATTTAAGAAAATTTAATTATATACACAGATTATTTAATTTAATAAATTGTAAATTATTTGTAATATAAACTTTTTCTAAATTAAATTAAATAGTTTAATTTAATAAATTTTAAATTTTTTTAATTTTCAATTATACCCTGAACAGGGTATATTAAGTTTGCCGCGAAGTTTGTAACACCCAGAAGGAATATATAAATGATCAGCATGATGAACTGAGTTGATTTAGCCATGTCTGTCTGTCCGTCCGTCCATCCGTCTGTATATATGCGAACTAGTCTCCCAGTTTTTAAGTTATCGATCTGAAACTTTGCACTTGTACTTTTTTTACTAAGAAGCTGCTCATTTGTCGGACCATTATAGCATATAGCTACCATACAAATTGAACAATCGGAAGCAAGTCCTTGTATGGGAAACTTTTTTATTTGACGAGATATCTTCACGAAATCAGGCATGAGTTATTGAATAATAAGAAGAATAAAAATATAATCGCCGAAAAACTTTAACAGATCGGATGACTATAACATATAGCTGCCATATTAACTGAACGATCGGAGTAAAGTGCTTGCATGAAAAACTTTTCATTTGACGAGGTATCTTGACGAAATTTGGCATGAGTTCTTTTCTAAGGCAAGAATATAATCTCCGAAAAAATTGTTTAGATCGGATCGTTATGTCATATAGCTATCATATAAACTGAACGATCGGAGTAAAGTGCCTGCTTGGAAAAATTTTTTATTTTTTATTGCCGATTCACGAAATTAGATCTTAATTAAGTTATTGTAAGGAACTTTTGTATCTGTGAAGGGTATTATAGCTTCGGTGCAACCGAAGTTAACGTTTTTTCTTGTTTTATATGCAATTAATAGCTTTATTTTAAATTGTTTATCTGTAAAAGTAAATTTTTTAAATCTAGTTAAATAAATTTTCATTATTTTTTATTTTAAACTTCTTTAAATATAAATTTGTTTAGCAATTAATAGTTTAAATATTTCAATATTCAATATTTTTAAATTTAAATTTTTTTTTGATTAAAAGTTGTTTAACAATTAATGGTTTAAATATTCGATACTTTGCTTTTTTCAGTATATGTTATTTGAATTAGTGAGAAAATATAATATAAAAATTTCGATAGTTTTAAGAACACGAAATGATAAATATTTTAATACATTTGAATACTATTTTTATTGTTTTTTTTATTTGCTCTTATATATAACAAAAATAACTAATTAGTTCTCCAAGGTTTTCTTATATAAGTTCTTTTTACTATAATTTCGGAATTTTAAAGATTAATCAAATTACGGTATATAAATATAAAAAATATTAACATTTCTTCATTTTTAAAAAACTTTTCCAAAAAGTAATTTAACAAAAGTTGTAAAACTACGTTTTAGAATTATTTTTATTCTTTGATATTATATTATATGTCGTATATGTAAATAAAAAAAATATAATTATGTAATTTTTTAAAAATTCTTTCTATCAGTCCAATTTTTTATAATTTCTGAGATATGTGTTTAATATTTTATTAAATTTAATAGAAGTTGTTAAAAAAACTTAGATAATTATTTTTCTTTCTTATTGTTTGAGATCGAATCTCATATAAATAAACAACGAAATTACGTAATTCTTTCAAAATTCACTCTCAGTCAAATTTTTATAAAATCTGAGTTTCGTGTTTTTATTAACTTGAAACAATTTCTTGAATAAAACTTATGTAAATTAATGTGCAATAACATTTCTGCTTCTCATATTTATGTTTGTTTATTTTTATATAACTTGAATATAATGATTATTATTTGTATATCATATTTTTATTTTTGAAGATTGACTTTAAATACATTAATTATTATTTAATATTCGCTAATATTAATTTTAAAAATAAAAGTTTCGACCCACTGTGCCCAAGTATATATGCATATCGCAGCATGAAACCCACTTAACTACGTAATTCACGCCCTGGTATTTGAAAGATACATTGATTTTTTTTCATTACACATTTAACTGGTTGGTTGGTGGACGGCTAGTAAACCGCCTCACTAACGCGCTCAATGCAAAAGCGAGTACTTTTTTGTTCGCCTCACAGTAAGCTAACGTTCCTGCCCTCCTGCAATAGCTGCCGCTGATAAAGAGTAACTTAATATTGTAATTGTAGCGCAATGAAGCGCATTTCTAACATCAACGCTGATTTTTCGCTAATGATAAGCCTATAGCGTAGCATATGCAGGCACTTAAACACAAATGCAAAGGCACCAAACACACACACATATACACACACTTATTGTAGAGTAGTACAATCGTCCTGCAGCGACACACTAGAAGCTCACCGTTGTAGAACAAGCGGAGAAAAAAATGGAATAATATAAAATGAAAAGAGGAATTAAATAAAATAGTAGCATGGAGGCAAAGGTGGTTGCTGCAACGGTTCGTTGGTTGGTGCGTTAACTGGCAGCAGAGGCGGTGTGCGCTCGCCTCAGCCGGCTGGTTGTTTGGTTGGCTGAAAAGCTGTCGCTTGCCTGTCTGTGTTTGTGAGTATATATGTATTAGTATAGGTATATAGGTAGCGTTCACTATTTGAGGTATACCTACCAGTTATTTGCCGTTAAGGGCGTAGTACTTATGGTTGCGTTGCTGCCGCCTAAGAGCGTCTGTAAGCGATATCAGTCAAAATAATCGCACACTGCGTCGCTTATCTGATCATGTAAAAATATTGTAATGTTTCATTTTTTCCGGTTACACATAGTGCGAATTGCATGGTTTACTAGAATTCAGCAGCAGCGGCAGCGACGGCAGTTTAAATGCATAACTGCTGAGCTGAGAGAGAGTGTCATATGTACTTATGTAGTTATATCTACATATATACATATGTATGTACATATGTTTAAGTATAAATGCAAATATTGCAATGCAGTGTGGCAAGCAATTTGGGTACAGTGTAACTGAAAGTTCCAATGACAAGAGCGGAAGTGGTCTCGGTTGCCTTCGGCTTGCTGCAAATGCAAATATATGCGTTTGGACATACATACGTATGTATGTAAAAATCTAAATGGAATTGAACACTTGCAACAATAAAAAAACAAACGCTCATATATAATAAGCTTTTACCCGAATATATTACTGGCCTATTTGACTATACACTGGGGGTGCCTAGTTTTCTTCATTCAAATTTGAAGGTCAAATAATCTTATAGTTATACTCTTATTAAAATAATATTTAATATAAACAATATAAAATATAAAAAATTAGGTATGAGTTAAGTATTAGCACTAAAAATACTTTATAATAGTTCTTTTTATTAATTTTTTTTTATAATTTTTAGTTTTTGATATTTTTAATTATTATATTATCTTTTTGCTTAAATTATCAATAATTAACTTATTTCTCTTTTGCTTCCAGGTGAATCGCCCGCTAACCATGAAAAAGGAGGGCATTCAAACGCGCAATCGAAAATTGTCGTCGAAATCAAAGAAGAAGAAGGGTTTGGGTGGCCCTTGTCTACCCATTGGCAGTCACTTGGGTATGGGCGATTTCAAACCACTCGATCCATCTAAAGGTTTCGGTGGCGGCTTCCCAGCTTCGATGGGTGAGTAAACATATTAACAAAAACTTATTAATTAAAATAAAATAAAATGAAAAGAAACCAAATTGAATTAAAGTAACTTAAATTAACTAAATTAAATTTAACTAATTAAAGGATAAAAAAAAATATATTACATTATTAATAGTGGGTAAATGTAACATTTCACATTATTCCGAAAAAAAACACAACATTTAAATTAAATTTAAATTATATAAAATTTATGAATAGCATAAAAAACAAAAAATTAATAACATCAATAATAAAATAAAATTTAAAAAATTATAAAAAAAATTTATTAATTTGCTTCATTTATTTAGACAAGACAAAATCATAAAAATTACTACTAAAATTTATTTAGTTTTAAATTATTAAATATTAAATGGGTGGATTTGGTATATATACGAGTATATAATATATTAAATGGCATATATGTGCATATGTATTAGACATAAAAATAACAAATTTCCGGAATTTCGAAATTTCAGTAAAAAAAAAGTACAAAAAAGCAAATGCATAAACTTTTTCTAAGTAATAATTGAACATCAATATTTTGAATTTTGAAACTTCAGCAAAACAGAACTAAAAATCAAATTCACAAATTTTTAATTAAATATTTAAATTTTATTTCCATTAATTTACAATTTTATATCCACTATTCGCAGTAAATGAATTATATTAAATTAAATCATTGCTCGCATATTAACTCACAATTCATAAATTTATTACATAATATACACATACATATACATATATAGTACATACATGTATGTTAATGCATGCATCATAATTGCCGTTTATTTTTCAATATGTATTTAATTTGTATTATTTTGTTCTTCTTTGATTTCCAGCACAACATGGCCATCTTTCCAGTGGTTTACATCCCGCACATGCGCACATGCACGGCGGCTGGTATACCGGCGGTATGGGCGCTTTAGGTGCTTCTAGTGGCTTGCAGAGCGGCTTCTCGACAGCTGGTTCACTGGGTGGCGGCGTGGTACCACATTCGCAGCCTTACCATCTTGGTTTGGGTTCGATGGTGAGTTGAAGAAAATTACGCCAAGTAGAGAGAAATTTCTATTGTTTTATTTATATAATATATAAATGAATAAGAGCAAGCGCTAAGAGAAAGCTAATTGAAAGAGAAAATTTTGCAAATTGCAAGAGTTGCAGAGTATAATACCCAGTTGGCATAGTTAGTTATAGGGTAGTTTCAAAACAACTTTTCTAAAAAACATTTTTGCTTTTTAGTTTTAATAAATAAGAACTTTGTGCAAAAATAGAAATTTAGGAAAATATTTAAAAAATTAATATAATAAACTAATTAATATAATAAATAATAATAATTAATAATTATAATTGTTTGAAAAAATACATATATGAGAAATATTTTACTAGTTTTTATGCAAATCGAATTAGTTTTCAAAACTATATTTTTCAAAAATATTTCAAAGCAACTTTATTCAAAAAGCTTTTTTTTAATTTTATATAAATTAGAATTTTTTGCAAAAATGCACATAAAAAATTTTCTCAAAACATATTTGTTTAAAAAAATGTTAAAAACTTTTTAAAAATATTTAAGAAAAAATTATGGTTTGATATGCAATTATCTTAAAAAAATTTGTGAAACATATTATATTATTTTTTATTAAGATATAATTTCTTTTCCAAACAATTTTCATCAAAAATACTTTTTATACTCTCGCAACATGTTGCTACAGAGTATAATAGTTTTGTTCACCTAACGGTTGTTTGTATCACCTAAAACTAATCGAGCTAGATATAGGGTTGTATAAATATGTATAACTGATCAGGATGAAGAGACGAGTTGAAATCTGGGTGACTGTCTGTCCTTCCGTTCGTCCGTCCGTCCGTGCAAGCTTTAACTTGAGTAAAAATTGAGATATCTTTATGCATCTTGGTAAACGTGTTTCTTGGTACCGTATGACGGTTTGCGTTACAGATGGACGTAATCGGACCACTGCCACGCCCACAAAACGCCATTAATCAAAAACGTATAAATTGCCATTATTAAGCTCCGCAATAAGATACAAGACTGTTATTTGGTACACAGGATCACATTAGGGGGTTCATCTGCAGTTAAAAAATTTTTTTGTAAAGTATGCGTGGTCCCGCCTCTAATAGGTTTAATGTGCATATCTCCTAAGCCGCTAATGTTATAATAATTCATATAATTCCATAATTCACTGGAAGCAAATGTTTTAGAACCTCTACCCACAGTGTGAAAATAGTTCAAATCGGGTGGCAACTTCGCCTACTCCCCATATAACGGTACTGTTAAAAACTACTAAAAGCGCGATAAATCAAGCACTAAACACGCCGGAGACATTAAATTTTATCTCTGGGATGGTATGAGATAACTTTATAGGAACCGCGTTCAAAATTAAACAGTAGGCGTGGCACCGCCCACTTTTAGGTGAAACCCCATATCTTGGGATCTGCTTAACCGATTTCAACCAAATTCAGTGCATAACATTATTTTCATATTTTTATGTTATATTGCGGAAATGGGCTCAATCGGACTACAACCACGCCTATTTCCCATATAATACCATTTTCAATTCCATCTGATTCTTTCACTTTCCACTATGCATATCAAGCAACAATGATTATATCGGGATAAAACTTTGCGTGAATAATACGTTTAATGTATGCCAACTTGTGACCAAAAATTGTCTAAATCGAACCAAAACTGTTCAGTTAGTTCCCCTAAGTACTAAATATGTGGACCCCAGTGCCTATAGTTGATCTTCTACCGAAAATATCAGCCAATCCACAAAGAAATCTCAAACGAGTATACCATTTGACTTTGCGAGAGTATAAAATGTTCGGTTACATCCGAACTTAGCCCTTCCTTACTTGTTTATATTTAAATTAATTGAATAAATAAAAAATTTGTGCAAAAATGCAAATTGAAGTAATATGATACATGTTATTAAAAACATATTTAAAGATATTAAAAAAATAAATAATAAAATTGATATATTATTAAAAAAACCACTAATAACTATACATATTTTTTTTAGTATATAAAAATTTCTTAAAAATATATGTTCCTAAATTATATTTTAATATTTTTAATGCAAATAAAGTTTGTAATTATAATTAAATATGGAAATGAATTTTATTTTTTCAATTATTGCAGAAACAGTCTGGAAATAAGTAGCATTAAGTTATGTACGTTACGTTATTCTAAAACAAAATATTTTTTACTCTTATTTTCCCTTACTTTTTTTTTATCAAATAGAACCAACCCAAGCTCTCTACCATTACTCTAAATTATTACTTATGTTACCTCCAACAACAAAATCAGCACAACAACCAAACTAATTCATGCATTTTCCACCGCTTTCTCATTCACAGGGCACCTGGCGTACGGATTATACGTGATGGAGCGGGAACAATTTGAATAATAATTTATTCAATTGAAAGTAAACAAGGCAAAAACGGTAACGCAAATCATACACTGCACGCAATGCGTTTAACGGCAAACCGCACACAAACAACATGAGCAAATTTGAGCACAAAAACTACCAGTGAACCAAAAGAGTCTTTAAGTAAAATAAACTAGCTCTACAACAACAACATGATACTAAAAGCAACCAAAAGGAACGTAAAAGCCGTAACCGAACGTCTACGCCTACAACGTATGCCAACAGCAACAATATATATGGTATACTAGTTACAACAAACATAACCTACAACTGACTACAACAACAACTTGCAAAGTACAACAAACAACACAAGAACTTGAAAATATTTGCAAACAAAAATTTATGCCGGAAAATTTATGTTTCACCAAAAATTCATTGCAAACTCTTACGCGCGTTCTCCCTCTCTCACACACACTTCCTTTCACATACGCAGCAACGGTACTTTGTATTACTGTAAGGCGTTTTGGTTTTGGTTGCGAATACCGGGATTATCCTGTCGCCGCCAACATTAATGATTGCAACTAAAAAAGAAGTTCAAGTGGTGTGCAACATCATTAGTGACCAACAACGAGCCCTCAAAGCAACCACACAAAGGATCCACACCAAATCGGCATATCGAATACCGAGTTTCGCCTGCAACCAAGATTTACTCAATCGAGCGTGAGATTGTCTACAACAAAAGCAAAAAACCGAAAAGATTGCGAAAACTCAATTTCGGCTTGGTCACTTCTGAGCCGTGCGGCCCTCGGTCACGCTGCACTTGTTGCCAGCAGTTAAGCCGCGCTTAATTGCTCTTCGTCTTCTTTGCCTCGTACTTTACCTTCTCGAGTGTTTTGCATTCAACGAACGATTTCACGAACGGCTAAGCCGCTGATCGGTCTGAGCTACTGTTTAAACCGCAGCATTGTGGCTTAGCCAAAGGATTAAATCAAGTGCGGAATTGTTGTGTTGCTGTGCGCCATTGTTTGAGGCGTGGCTGTGTGTGTACTTGTTGTTGTTGTATGAAGACTTAGAGGAGAGCAGACAAGTGCTTGGCGCCAGTTTATTTGACATATTGTTAGAGGTGTATTAGTTAGTGGTGCTTACTTGGAACCCAGACTAATCAGTTTCAATGAAAACAATTATGTTAGAATGTACATACAAGTATATTTGCTATAATATTATACATATGTTGTTGCTAACTCCGCTGAGAAACTATTGTAATTTATTTATGCCTAAAAATATTTATAGTTATAAATGTATGCAGTTTTAATAGTTAACACAAATAATTAATACAATTATTTTTATTTATAATTATTGTATAATTTATTTTAGTTATTTATTATCTTTTTATTTATTTTTTATTTATTAAGTATTTAAATTAATCAATTTTATTTTTTTATTTCTTCATTCTCTAATTTTAAATTTTTTTTTTTCATTCTTTATTCCTTGTTTTATTTATTTATTAATATTTTTAATTCATAAATAATGTTTAGTAAAATAGGAAATTAATAATTTTTTTAATGTCTATTTTTTTGTTTTCTATTTTATTTTATTTTTTATTTGCATATTATTTATTTATTTTTATGTTTATAATTAATTTATGGGTTTTTGTTTATTATTATTATTTTTTAAATTGATTTTTTCATTCTCAATTTTTTGTTTTATTTTCTAATTTTTCTTCATATTATTATTTCTTTGGTTTAAAATTTCCGTTACTATATCCGTTTGCAAAAGTAAGGGTATTTATAATTTTAGTGGAATTTTAGCTATACAGCATCGCGTGCAATTCTTATTTATTTTAGTATCTCTTAATAGCTTACGATAAATAGTTCTAACTGTACATATTTATAATGTGAATATACATAACATTTACCCTAAAATATATTTGTTCGAGCACAAGCGTAATTAAATTTAGAAACTTCTTAAAAATCATTTCAACAAAAACATTTTAGGATGAAAACTCCAATAGTGCATTAAAGTTTTCACATTTTTCTTAAAATATGCAAGACATAAGCTCTGAAAGGAAAAGCTTTCTAAACACTTTGGGCTTTCACTTTATTGTTTTTTAAACCTCAATTTGAGTAAATTTTGCTAATATTTTGTTATTATAAAATATGTTTATTATTATCAATTAAAATTTATCGATTTTGGATATAGTTTCCTTGATTATGATAAATCTCTCTAACTCTAACTAGCACACTCGGCTCATAAAAGCTCCCATTTCATCAAAAAACAATTTCCATAGATTCAAGTGATGGGAACCCCTAAAATAAAAATATTACTCTCTTTTCAGTCGTTTTTGTTGTGAAAGCTTTCATACTACTTCGTTCAAAAGTTTTTTGAATTTGCTTTTAATTTGTTTTCAAAATATTACTTAATTTTACAAACCTGCTATCGCTTTTACTAAATGAGAACCAAAATACACTAAACAGCGCCAAACTGCTAAAATAATGAAAGCTCTGTGACGAAATTTCGACAAAGAGCAACTAAACGTCCAAAAATCTAGTAGTAAATCTTTTATATTTCAAAAACCAACAACAACGCAAAATTTGTTATCGCACTGCAATTTGAAATTGCACAAAAAATTTTTACAAAATTAAATTTAGTAAAATAAAAAATTGTAAATAAATGCATAAAAAAGTAAGAAAATATAAAAATATTCATATATAAGAAAATATGTAAAAATTAATTTATAGAATAAAGAATATTGAAGAAAAAACTAAACCGTGGAGTGATATCACAAATGAAAAAATATTAAAATTGCATTAAATAGGAAGAAGAAAAAGAAATTAAAAAATAAAAAGTTAGTAAAAGTATCCATAATTATACAAACGAAATAAATCTGTTAATTTTAAGCTAATAATATGTTAAAAAAGTCAAAAATCAGTTACTAAGCAAATCAAAAACGGATAAATACGAGTAAAAAGCAAAAAAACCGAAAAAGTGTAAGTCTTGTAAAAACTAGTTTTAATTTAAAAAAGCGCTTAAGTGGTAAATACCTACTTTTTAAAGAAAATTAAAATTAGAAAATACATATACAAATATATATCAAATGAGTAAAAAATAACAATATAAAAACAATGTAAATAAATTTAAAAAACTTGCACTGCAACTTGTTTTTTAATTAACGTGAATTTTTAGAATTGCAAAAAAAAACAAAAAAAAAATATTTTTGTGAATAAAAATCAAATTTTTTTTAAGTCAAAAAGCAAACTGATAAGTAATATATTTTTTTTTGTCCCAAAATTTAATTCAATATTATTCAAATTTAGTATTATTTATTAATAGTATTTTTAGTTGTAATTAATTTATGAAAATTTTCCGCCAATTAAAAATAAATATGTTGCTAATTTAAATAATTGTATAAAATAGCTGTGTCTGTACATTATTCTAAGGTAGTGTGTGTGTTAATTATGCACATAACTGTAAACTTATATGAAATTAATACGCTATATATGGTATATATGTACGTATAAGTGTAATTGGCCATATTGATAGTTAAAAAGTCGAAAACCTATTATTAAACAATTAAATTAAATTAGACTTATAATTAAAAAATTAATGTAATTCAAGAAAAATGAAATGTGAAATACAGTGTAAGTGAAAATCATTATTATTATTATTGATTAATATTAAATTTAATGGCAATCACAAATGCAAAAGTGCGGTGAAAAATGTGACAAAATTTAAGTAAAGTAATTTAAAAGATATAATTAAATAATAAAACAAAGAAAAAGAAATCACAAAAAAATAATAAAAATCATGTATGAAAAATTTAAACGAATGCCTTCTTATTTATTTTCTTCTTTATTTATTATATTCTGGTTCGTTTATGTACAGCACTAGGAAAAGCTACGTTGGTTGAAAAATCTTTGGCCTTTGGTACAACTTGGAGAGAATGGAAGAAACGTGGATAAATTATAACACACCTGAATCCAATCAGCAGTCCGCTGGAAGTCGCAGCGCCCGAAAATACCGTATAGCTGTCGGCCGGCAGGGTTTAAACCAGTATTTTTTGAGATTGGTATACTTGTAGAATTTCAAAGTCGGTCGGGTAATTTTGAAATAAAAATTCTTATTTTTTCAAAGATCCAATGTAGATGGAACCCATATATATATATATAAGTGGTATATTAAAAATGATATTTGCAATAATCTCAATTTCGAAGTTTGAAGGCATTTCTCTCGATTTTATACGCTGCGTAGACAAACGTAGATATTACTTTTTTCTTATGGCTCAATCTCTCGAAAAAATTGGTTTGATCGAGTACCCAGCCGACTGCTGCACAGTGTTATTTATCGCAAGGTTTATACTACAATATGACATCCTTAGGTAAAAGATAATTAAAATTATTAAGGGGTTTTATAATCTAGAAATCGAAAGAAACTGAAATTTTTTATTCCATTTCGATAATTTAGATATTAAAAATTATCTCCCTAAACATATTTTTCAAATATCTAATTATTTCCAAATTTATTGCCATTTTAGTGCCATGGCAACTAGCCTGAACGTAACGTAAAAGTTTAATACTTTTTTCTCGAAACTACTTTTTTTGATGCGGTCGTAACGATATTTCAATTACTAATCAGTCGATTTCCTCGAAATTTGGCAAGAATACATCTCTTACCTATATATAAAAATTAAACCCGTTGTCACGCCATAACTTGAGAACGCCTAGACCGATTTGGCTGTTTTTTTTTGTAGTTTTCTAATACTCTGTAGAAGGTTCCTAAGGAAAAAAGTATTGAGAAAATGTCTTAGAAAGATTGAAAAAATTCATTTAATTTTGCATATTTTAAAAAACGCTCGTAACGAATGTCATCGTCATTCACAACCATAGACTATATTGAAAGAGCATCGTTTGTTCGGAAATGTGGTTACTTAATTAAATTCTATCGCACTAATTTACTAATTTTTGAAAATTACTCGCCACAATTAAATGTATCGACTTTGACGGTAATATCAATAATACCAGTGATGATTTCATTTTAATGTAAGTATTTAATAATAATAAAATATCTATACTATGAGTTAGATTTCAGAATAGAAGTTAGATTTACCCTAAACTTCCAGCCAATTTCAGCACTATTGTAAACAGACAAAATTAATTAATTTCCCGTATTTTCCCAGTCGCACAAAATAATTATTTAAATAATAACTGGCGCGGTAATCGAGCTATATAGACAGAAAAAAAATGCTGAAATTAGTTTTGATAATAACATTTTACTAAATTAAACTGCTTACTCAATATAATTTAATTATACCTTAGCCACAGCAAGGCGTGACCAGGGTCTTCTAGTTTGTAATATTTTCAAAACATTTTCGAGAAAAGTGTGCAACAATCAACCCTTGTTTTTGCCTTTTTATGATTTTTTTTTCAATTCTGATCGTAAGGGTAGAAATCGTGACATTTAGAACGCCTTTTTCCCCATCTACTTAAGCACGAATGACTTTATGAAATTTATTTGTTTTCTTTCGAAATTTATTTAGTGTATTCTTCAAATATAAGTAAATAAATAATAGAAAATGTCTAATAGTCAGATGATCATAATTAATTTTATTCTACTCAGCAAATTTTATAAATCAAATATTAGTTACAGCCAGAGAAATTACTTTGAATTTTTTTCGCTGATTGTCAAGCAATCACAAAACTGTTTGAGAATGATATCAGTACGAAATTTTATTTTTCTAACGCCATATAGCCTAGCCCGATCGCACTTATACAACGCGAGATAAAGATTATTAAAGCTATCTATTGGAAAAACAATCAACTTTTTTTTAATAGACATTATATGCATACAAGTATACAAGTTGTGTAACATATAATATTCAGTAAGACTAAATAAACTAAGGCAATATTTAAGTACTATTATTTTTGTTGTAGCATAAGATCTTCCCGAAAACGACTTATTACAAAAAGTACCTACTGCCTAGTATATTCGATATATTAATTATTTAGCAAAAAATTCTCAATGGGGCGAAATTGAGAGTTTGAAACAACAGATTCAACAACAAGTGCCTCAATCAGCTCTGCCTAATACAGGAATCCACAGCTGCGATCAAACAAATTACTGTGGCAGAAATTCTATGAAAGAGTAGTGAAATTTCGCATGTAAGCGGGACCTACATTAGGCATAGACACCACAAAGGTTAAATTTCCATAGACAAACTTCTACTCGAATTCACGAGAGCCTTGCAAATGAGGTCGTCCGATGAAAAATAACCAAAGATTACACATTTACACGTGGAGTCTACAATTAATAAGTTTTTTTAAGAT